ATATCTCGAACAACATCATGCATCTTTATTTGTGTACCTTCCCCAACCCTTTCTAGCAAACAATTCTCTATGAGCTTCTGCAAAATAGAATGACCCCAACCTTCCATTGCTTTTCTAGTTCCCATTTCATCTATAAGTCCTTCTTCCATCCAATATTCAATGATTTCCTCTTTTTTGAATTCATAATCTTCAGGATATAAAGCACAACATAGAAAACAATCCCGGTCTGTTTGTCTTAGATGATCATAGCTAAATTTTAGGCATCTAAACAATTTTTCTTGCACCACCTGGATGCTTCTGATGTTACTTCTCAACTCATCCAAAGCATTTTCCCACAGAAGAGGATTGGATATTCCCCTCATACAACCAGCTATTGTGACAATTGCAAGAGGAAGTCCATCACATTCTCCCACAATATCTTTCATAATTGATTCTAAAGTTGGATTAGGCAACATGTCTTCTCCAGCTTTGCTTAAAAATAACTGCAAAGCCTCATCTGCAGAAAGACACGGTACTTGGACTTTCTTACAGCCCATTGTTCTAACAACCTCTTCTGAACGTGTTGTCAACACTAATTTGCATCCATTATCTGCTGTTGGCTCAAGGATTCCGATATCCTCAAGAGAAAAGCTGCTCCATACATCATCCAATATTAGCACATGCCTCCGGTGTTTCCTCGACATTTCTGATAACTTTGCTGCACGTATGGTTGTATCTTCTTCATGTGACAACTCTTCCATCAATTGTCTTGCAATGTTGGTTTGCAGCCTTCGAATATCGAAGTCTTGGGTTACAGTTACCCAAATCAACTTGTTAAACTTGGTTTCTTCCAACAACCTATTATGGACATGCTTCATAATGGTTGTTTTACCTATTCCTCCCATCCCACACACTCCAATCATTCTAACTTCATTTCCCATCAAATAGTTATAAATTTCTTCTTTTACATTAGTCTCACCTGCCAATTCTGATGTTGGTAGTTGAACAGCTATGATAGAGAGGTCATTAACCGCCAAGCTCCCACAGAAATGACCTTCGGCTTTCACTTCCTTCAATGCTTGAGTCGCTTCATAAACACGCTTCCCTAGGCAAGAACGAAACAGAGATTTCCCTTTACTGACTTTATCTTCAACACGTTGAGCATCAGCAAGCTTCTCCTTTATTTTTCTGAGCCAACTTTCAACTTCCTGCTTTGGCTTTTTCCCAAAATGATGCTCGTCTTGCAATTGTTGTTGAATATCTGCCTCCCTAGCTAGCAAATCTGCTTGAGCTTGCTTGAAATCATCCACATATTTGTTGAATTTTCTGTGGTAATTAAGATATCTTATAGCTGGACGGCCGATGAACATTATAACTTCAAGGATTGGCATAACAAAGTCACACATTGTATTAGCTTTAATGTCCCTACATCAAAATTGCCATATTGATGATTAATTCAATAGTAGATTGATCAACATATTAAGTTTATAAACTAAAGTTCAAACATAAATGGATGACCTAGGAACCATGTCCCATGACTAAAACACCAGCAGAAATGCCTTTATTACTGACAAAATTTTACGGACAGAATTTTTTCACCAGTAATTATCGACCGTTTACTAATAACTTATCGATGGAATTTATTGATGGATTTAATTTCATAGGTAATCAATAAGTAAACATATGGCATGAATATCCATGAAAATTACAGATGAAATATTCCGTTGGTAATTCTTGTGTAAAATTATTATTGCTAAATTACCAACAGAAAAATTCTATCGCTAAAAAAAATTTCTGAAAATTTTTTTTTATGATTGTCTATTACTGATGGATTTCCCCCCTAAATCATAATCCCTAAAATCAAACCCCCATCTCTCTCACTCTCTTCCCTCTCGACCGCCCCTCTCCCTCGCCAGTCGGCCGATCATCCCCCTTTCCACTATTGGTAATAAGTTTTTTGATTTTTCAAGTTTTTTTTTAATTTATTTTTTTGAGTTTGTTTAACTTTTTGTTATAGATTGTTGAGACTTGTTGTGTTTTATGTTATAGATTTGTTCATTTTTTGTTGTGTTCAACTTTTTGTTAATTTTTGTTGAGTTTTTTGTTGAGTATTGTTGAGTTTTTTTTTTATTTGTTGAGTATTATTGAGATTTGTTGGGTTTTTGTTATAAATTTATTGACTTTTAGATGTTTAAGATTTATATTGATTTTATAGTAAATTTGGGTTTGAGGTATATTAAGATTTATATTTGTCTTGAAAATTTTTTATATTTAATAGTTTTTAAAATTTAATAATAATTATTGAAATTAAAAAATTTTTGTTGATTTTATATTAAATTGGGGCTTGATTCTGTAGATCTGTTGGCATTTACTTCTTTCCATTACAAATCGGTGGTGTGGGAATCTGTCAGATTTGCATCCAACCCTCAATTACAGTTTGATTCTTTGGATCTGTTATTTTTGTTTATTGGTACTGCATTGACAATCAGATTAATCTTCTTAGTAGCGTTGGATTGTTTTTAGGCAAACTCCATTTGACCTTTTAAAGTAGACCATTTCATTGCCCTCAGATCGGAGGCTGCTTCTGCCTTTTCAAATTTAATAGAAGGCAACATCTATGACTTTATTTGTAATATTGAATTATATATGCTGAAATTTGTCACCTCATAGTGAAATACTTGCTTACATTTACATATGGTTGGTCGGGTGAAAGTTTTTCTAGATGTTTATATTTTTTAACTTTGTTAATATTGGATAATATGGTAATATGCAATCTATAAATGCCAGCCTACCTGATCTATTAGTTATTTATAGGACCGTTTAGTATATTTTGATTGGCAGGGCATTTCAATTGATCGTTTGCTTTGTCTTATAGTGTTTATTCAATTTTTTTCTGCTTAAAATTGATGTGATGATTAAGTTTCTGTATCGAATAGTTGTGTTTTGTTGTCATTTTTGTTTTATATTATTTCTTGTAGAAATAGTGAATTCTTGCTGAGGTGTGTTAAACCTGCAGTATCTTCAAAATCTCTCCCCCTCTCCTCGTCGCTGTGAAGCTGTTCTGCGGGTCTGTTCATAAGACAGCGCTCTCCCCTCTTCCCTCTCTTTTCTTCTCTCGCGCTCCCCTCCAATAATGTCAACATTAGGTCAGCTTTATATTCTTTCCTTTTGTGTTTTTTTCTTTAATTCAGTTCCTATCCTGTTGCTTAGATTACAACTTTTAATGGCCAATGTCATTAGTTAGATCCGCTGTGGATTGAAAAGTCAATATAAGATGTTATGCTTGTGTTCTTCTTTCAATTCTACTTTCCTTGATTAACCATCGATTGAATTTCATCCTTGAAATTTTCTTATTTATATATTTTGTTGAGGCCCTACTTAATTTGTGATGTAACATTTTCTCTTTTCAATTCTAACTGCTACTTGAGCTAAAGCTTCAGTAAATAAAATTTTGGTGGTTAGTTTCAATTTAAATTTGAATATAGAATAATTAGACCTTTATGCTAAAATATCCTTTAGATTCCAATAACCTGATTTGAATTGACCTTCTAATTGGCACTGTATTATTTTATGTGGTACTTTGGAAATGAAAGGATGAATTCTAACGAAGTTTTGCCAAAGGTAATTATGCTCCCAAAATACATGAATAAAGCCAGGTTTGTAAACTATTTGGAGAAATTGTGAAAAGTTATACTAATGAAAACGAAAGTGGTAGTCCTTTTAGGCAAGTAAACTTAATTTTTTGGAAAATAATTAGCAAAATAAATTCTTTATTTTCTTGAAATATAATTAATTAATTTTAATTTCTGAAAAGTTGTCCTAGTTTCTTAGTTATAATTTCTTAAACTATTGTTTTGATCAGGGGTGAAGTCAGGGTTCTTTTCTTGGGTGGGCTGGAAGAAAAATTGAGGTATAAGAGTAAAATAATGAAAGGTGTGATAAAAAGAATTTTAAATTCAAATGATATCGCCAATGAGGCATTGTTTCAATGGCAAGGGAGGTCCGGTTACCTTGAATCTTAGGTTTAAGTTGTGGGTTTCGAATCATGCTCCAGCATAATGTCTAGTTTGATAGACCAAATGTATGCATATTATTTGTGCACAATACTTAGAAGGTAATAGTAGTTCATCATCTTTTAAAATATTCCATCTTTTTATCATTGATCTTTTTGCCTATGAAAATGAATTTGTTAATCACTATTAATATTGTAAGGTAACTTGAGTTTCTGTTACTCGTGGAATGAACCTGTTATCTGAAGATTGACATGCAAATACAGAAATGGTATATATGCTGTTATGCTATTTGCTGTAGTTATGTTTTTAAGTCTTGGTCGGCACAACACTCCTCTTTTGGCCTTAAATCTTCAATTCTGATGTTGTAGGAATTTAATTTGCCTTAATTTTTTCAATTTATATTTTTTATTTTTTTAGGTATTTTTATTATTTTATATTGAAAGTACTTGTTTATTTGACTTACGTCCATTGCCAAATATTTGTATGGAATTTGTAACATATATATTTTTTGTATTTTTATCTAATAGAATTCATAAACAATTTTGTAAAATATTTTAAATTCTTTTATAAATAGAATGGAGCACTTTGTTTATTTATTTTTTTATTTATATATATTTAGTATTCATGTAATTACTTTGAAAATAAATTAAAAAAAAATAAAAAAAATAAATATAATATATTAAATATAATAAAAAAATAAGTATTACCAAGAGAATACCGACTGATTATCAACGGATTACTAATAAATTACCGATAAATTAACAACACTTTTACCAACGGATTACCAACAAATTACTATCGAAATTATTACGGATTGAATTTATTAACGGAATTAATATCGATAGAAAATTTCATCAATAATTATCGATGAATTTTTTGCATTATCAACAGATTAGTAATACCAACTTATCTATCACTAACGAAAAATTCCGTTGGTAAATTTTGTCAACAAAAATAATTTTTCTAATAGTGAAAAGGACATAAAATTATGTTCCAAACCCTGCCCACAAACTCAGACTTTTCCAAACAAAATTTACTATAACTACAGCATAATTCATGAAGATTACCTTATCACTTGAAGTAAATCAAGATGTGAGGATGAGGAGCTGCTAGACTGTTGCGACTCCCTTCTACACCAATTCGACCTATACAAATAATTAATAAGAGAAATGTAGAAATCAACGTGGTACTTTCAATTATCAAAAACTCCAGAAGTTCACTGAGAAGAATCCCACCTTTGTGCTTCAAATTTTTTTACTTCTCTTTCTTTCTGTCGATCTGTAAATTTAAAAAAAAAAATACAGTTTAAAGGCACACCAAGACATATGTTCAATTGTGAAGAGTGTAAAAGACTTTAATTTATATAATTTACACATGTCCATTTAATAATGATATAAATTAATATGTTGGTATGTAATGTTGAAAATTTGAAAAAGACTAGGAAAAAAAGGTTTTAGCATTTAAAAAAACTCTTGAATTAAAATTAATTATTGATTGCAATAAATATTTGATAGTTCAATTGATTACAATAAAACAATATGAACTTGAATGATTATTTAATTTTAAGTTATGGTCTTTTTAATATTTAAGCCATAAAAGTAGTAATTAAATACAGGCAAAATTTATTTATACAATGGAACATTAGAAGTTTGTTCTTCCTTTGTTATTATTGAACATAAATAAATGCAGTAAAGGCAAGGTGCAGTTCATTGAAGCAGTTAATGTTGTTGAAGCATATAATAACCTGAATTGGCAGTCTTGAAAAGTTTGTGGATTCAGTGTTGCAATTGCAAGGGCTCTCTCCTCTACTCTGTTTCTACCACTTCAAGAGAGTTACACCTAAAGCAAGTTCTATGGTTAATAAAATAAAGAGCCATGTTTTTTCTGAGGTAGAAGTACTTAAAGAAAATAGAAATTAAATTAAGAAAACGAACTGAAGGGCAGTTTTTTTAGTTTACAGGGAAATGGAAAATAGAAATTCTTTAATCAACTAGTAAAAGAAAATTCAAGAGCATGGCTTTTTATTGGTGAATTTTTTTAAGAGAAAAGAAGAAGAAACCAGAAATTATGAAAAGAAAATTGACAGCAGCTTCTTCTTTATATATTTATATATATTAAATGAAATTGAAGAATGAAATTTAAGAAAATATGTTCTTTTCTCTTTACTAAAATTAAAATGAAGAAAATAAAATCAATAAGCAAAAATTCTTTTTTTCCCTTTTGGAGTTATAAAAGAAAATTAGAAAAGGGGAGCAGAAGTTGCTTGTACTGGCAACTGTAAATGCAAATTAGAAATTGAAGAAATAAAACACTTGAATGCATGTTGAAACACTTTAAAAAATCGCAGTTTAATTATATGTATTATTTATTGAACTAATCTTATACCATAAGAAAAAAAGAAAGTACAAATACAGATTCATTACTCGGACTCTACTAAAAATTAAAGCACCTGAGAGAAATGGCAGTTGAGAAACAGGCATATAATTAAGATAATTTAAGTAGGAGCAGTTCTTGAAGCTTACCTGATCGCTTTGGAATCAAGCTGTGAGGACTTCTGGGGCTTTTTCCACCACTTCTAGAGATCCAAATAAGAAAGGGAACCAGAAAATTTTCCTTCGAGGAAAGTAGATAAGAAACTCTAGGGAACAATGGAAACAAGAACAATTTTTAGTATTTCTGCTTGAGTCGTTTGAGTTAGTCGACCGGTGGTGGTGATGGGTCTTATGCTCTCTAGGAAAACAACGGTCCAATTTGTCATGGGGTCCAGACCCTGTAAGAAACTTTAATGTGGTTTCCACCAAACATATGATTCTCTACCGAAAGTGGAGAATAAGCAAAATAGAAAATGTGATCGGAGCGGCATTATTCTTGTATATATACCAAATATCTGCAGAGAACAAATTCTTTATTTTTCCACAACCCACAAGTTGGATGTTTCCGGGAGGAATATGTGCCTACTGATGACTCTCCAACTATAACCGTCAAATTCTCCAAATAACTTAGGTTTGGAGACTTAAGTGCTTGAATTGACAGCCGGTTGAAAAACTGGACTCCAACTTATCACATTCCTCAATCGTGCATTCCTTCAAATCAGTTGCATCTTTCAATCCACAAATATCGTTTAAACTTCTCATACCTTTGCACTCAATAAATCCTAATTGCTGAATATCATATGGAAGTACAATTCCGTCTCCAGAAGTAACATCCAAATCCACAAATGCAACCTTTTTACTATAATCCTTGGATTTTTAAAATAAATCATAGAAAAACTGATCCTTCAATTGGCAACTCACCAAAATCAAGTATTTATGAAGCCTTTTTCCTGACTAGCATACATGTTCAAGTCATCCAAGTTACTAAACCAACCTTCAAAAACTTTGAACTTGTTCAATAGTCATTTTACTTCATTAACAAGTACGTTTTTATATATTTATTTTAAGAATTGATATTTGTTTATCAATAAGATAATAACACAGTATATAAAATCTATATATTAATAAATATAAATCAAAAAATAAAAATGTTGTAGGAATGGCATTATTCTCTTACTATTTTTTTCATGTTTTATGCACTTGATTATTGAGTAAATTATAATATAATAATTAATTTTACAAATCTCTATCATAATCAAATTAAAATAATCATTATAATACAAAATTTGATTAAATTAAAAATGTATATTTACATTCAAATTACAAATAAATACATAAAAAATTTTAAACTGAAGTTCCAATGAAGAAATGTCTAATTTTAATTTCTCTATTTTTATTTTTTTGACTTGGAATAATGTTAGATCATTATCTTCACCTTCTTCTTTTTTATTTTTTTATTATATATTTTTGAATTTTTTCGACTTTGCAAGGTAGTAGTCAATCAAAAATCAAATCAAATTCTATATTTTTCCTTCTTTTTTATTTTTTTCTTTTCCAAGATTTTTCTTTTTAACTTCCTTGTTGGTGAATCTTTATCTTCAATTTAATGTATCTTTGAGACAATCGTTGGTCATTTAACTTGTTCAAATTCTTTTTTTTTTTTTTCATCTATTTGCATTGAAAACTTAAATTTTTATTTTGACTTAAAATCATATTGTTGTAATAATTGGATTTTCCTATTCTTTGTTTCTTCTTGCAATTAAATAATAATAATTTTATAAATAATATTTCATTAAATTAAATTACAATTATGAAAATGATAATTCATTATCTTCTATTTTAAGTACTTGAGATATTTTGAAATTTCACAATGAGACTTTATGTTGCTTGGAAATAAAGTTGTGAGGACTGTTGGGGGCTCTTTCCACCACTTCTAGAGATTTAAATTAGAAACGAAACCACAAAATTTTCCTCTGAGGAAATTAGATAAGAAACTCCAGAGAGCAAAATGAACAGAAACAATTTTTAGTATTTCTGCTCGAACTGTTTTGAGTCAGTAAGGCAATGGTGGTGATGGGTCTAATTATGCTTTCTAGGAAAACCATTGTGGCCGAAGGTCAACAACGGTCTAATTCTCACCTCAATTAAATTCTCGGATTTACAAAACAATTACTAGTTTTCTACTAGTTTAGCATAAAATAAAATTAATAATAGAAATAGCATAGACAAAGCTCCCACCAAACAGATACATGTGCAGCATCTGACTTCATAGCAAAAGCCAATCAAAAGCAATACATAAATGTTGTTTATGTCGACATTAGAATGGGATTCAATTATTCAAAGCATAACTTCGGATATCAATCTTCTTCCCCATTGCATGTATCAGCAAAATAGATAAACCACATAAGACTGGTAATACACTAGTATTTTACTATGTTTATACACACAGAGAAAATGAAAAAAAAAAAAAAGAAGATGAAACTAGATTTGCAATTTTATAACGATGCCAATAATAAAAAAGAAGACTTACACTACTCCCACCATTCTTTTGGTTGCATGCGGGTTTCCTGGAGAGGAGGAGATGGTTTTTCCTTATCAACCTGGTCAAGCAGGGGAAGATACAGAGGAATCTGCTTTAGCTTTGGATGATTCAACAAAACCATTTATTGGAGAGAATCACAACGTCCCATTACTCCATTTTTACTACAAATGCCCTTCAATTCTCGTACATAGATTAATTCCAATGTCCTTAATTTGGGAAGAATATTCTTGCAAAGTTTGATGAATTCAGTGTTGCAATTACAAGGGATCTCTCCTTCTCTGCTATGTTTCTACCACTTCCAGCGAGTTACAGATAAAGCAAGTTCTATGGTTAATAAAATAAAGAGCATTATTTATATCATATCGTCATTTTATATATAAAACTCAAATATTCTATAATAAATGTCAAGTCCTTTTTACATAAATTATAAATTTATAAATCTTAATTTTATTACGTAAAACACATGAACTTTTAATTGTCTAACATTTTTTTGGATTATTGACTTTTGATTTTTTTGTATTCATTTTCTTTAAAATCATTATTTTTTAAAATTTATTGATCAACCCTTTAGTTTTATAACATTTATATTTTCAACTTTTTATTTTCTTATAACATATGGTTTTCTATCTCTTTTAAGGATGAGAGTTATAGGAGTACCTTTCATGTCTCTATTATGTTTTTTTCTTCCAATTATTGTTTGTCATATTACTTGGATTATTGACTTTGATTTTCTTGAATTCATTTATTGACCAAACTTTTGATTTTGTAACATTTATATTTTTGACTTTTAATTTTTTTGTGGCTATGGTTTTCTATT